GTCGTTGTAAGAATGTGTGAGAAGGACAGCTGAGGACACAGATTTGCCTAAAAGTGTGATAACTGGTAACGAATCATGGATGTATGGTTATGACATCGGAACCAGAGTCCAGTCGTCCCAATGGAAGAGCCAAGGAGAGCCAAGACCAAAACAGCACCCCAAGTTTGATCAAATGTCAAGGTTTGGCTCACTGTTTTCTCAGATTATCGTGGCATAGGGCACCAGGAGTTCATGCCACATGGTCGTACGGTCAGTGAGTAGTATCATCTTAAAGTTATGTGTCTATTGCAAGGAGCAAGATGAATTCTATAAAAACAGTTCATGGCTTTTACATCATAATAAAGTATCTGCCCACTCTTCATTGCTTGTTCGTGATGTATGGCTTTCTTATAGATCAGTCTCTGGTGCAAGGAATCTTTCCTGATGTTTTGAAAAAGGCACTTGTGATCCCTCTCCACAAAAAAGGCAATTTAAATGAAATTGACAATTACATGCAAATATCGCTGCTCTGTTCTTTATCCAAATTAATAGAAACGATAATAGTAAATAGAATAACCGATTACTTGGAAAGCAACAACATACTTTCAACTTCTCAGCACGGTTTTGTTAAAAAGAGATCCATTGAAACAGCTTCCTACCATCTTCTCGATTACATTTACACTCAGATTGATAAAAATAACTACGTCTTATCACTATTCTTTAACCTATCGAAGGCATTCGATACGGTGTGCGTAGAATTTCTTTTGAAAAAAATAAGACAATGTNTCATTAGGACAACAAGAGGGTTGCTCCGATTTCTTGGGGTTCTTGTTGAATACTCTTCGTGAGCAAAAAATAGCAGAATCAATACTCCTGACTGTTATGGATTGAATGATTCCGTACAGTCTATCTCGTCTTGTGTTTGCAGATCTTTTGCTGAAAAAATCCTCAGTTGTTCACTTTGTAGTAAATATTCAAGAGGTAGCAAAAACGTATATGATATTCTGGAACTTCAACTAGCGTCTCCTAATATGACTGATAACCAGCCCGTGCAAAGCTTATTATCATATCATCTGAAAATTGAACTTTTAACGGGTGATGATCAACTTTATTATCAAACATGCGCCAACCTAACTGATTATTATAAGAAAACAAGTATATCTGAGGTACCAGTCAATCTTATAATGACACTAATGATGTTCAAACATGACTCAACATCTGACGGATGCACCAAACTCTTATGAAAATCCGAAGTATATGAACACTATTATAATCTTCATTCAGTCATTATTCACTGTGGTTCTGGATTAAAATGAGGTCACTATTACGCATTGATCAAAGACGAAACGGACTGGTTAAGTTTGATGATAGTCGTGTCATGAAGTGTTCTGGCGATGTTTTAAATTTATTGGAACCTCTGGAGACACCCTACATTTTGTTTTATGAAAGAAAGGACATTGGCAGATCGAAATCTTCAGATGATGTGGTGCTGCAGGTTTTTCCGAGTTTTCCTGCAGCCGAAAAAGCAAATGCGCCATTGGAATCAATGAAGTCGCCCCGGAGCGCCAATTAATTTTTGTTTTCTAATTTCATGATTTGTATTACTTTCTTCTTCAATAAAACTGTAATATCTCAGTGATATTACTCAAGTTATATTATTCAATTCATTACAAATAAGCGACATTTCAATCAGTTGACTTTTGCCAACGTAACAAAAGTGGATTAGTTTCGCCATCATGAAAATTGGGTGCTTAGGATTCGATAAAGTCGACGAAGACAAATTTTGTCTGGTCCTAATTGGCGAAGTTTCTACCGGTGATAAAGTTATCTAAGTAAGTGCTTGAGATAAGGATATTCTGTTGGCGAAAGTTCTGGGGGGTATTGTGAGTGAGGCAGAACTTAGACGGTAATTCGTTTAATTTTTGGTGAGTGATTTGTGAAACGTGCGAACGGGCGTTGTATCGGATCAATGCCAGTTACTACTGACGTATTTTTCAGTACATTTTCTCCATTGTCTCACAATAGGACTATGCTGTGATGGTTGGCCCGGTTGGATAAAGTGGCAGTGAATCGCACCAGCCGGTGACCATCATACAGTAACAGTGTTTTTTTGGTGAGTTTTCGCCTCTGGAAGGCCCTGGGTGGTGTCCTACCACTGTTCTGAATGTCTCCTGTTGTAGTAGAGGAGCTACGTTTCATCTCACGGGATGATCCGATCCAAAAAAGGATCGTTTTGGTTGCAAAAAATTAAAATTCAGAAAGAAATGAACAGCATCAATGTATAGAGTACCAACTTTTCTATCGATCAGTATACAGGGTCCTGCAACAGTGGCGCGGTGTTCCATATCTCTATATAGGAAGCAGATAGGAATCTAATTTTCTATAATATTACCTTATTGCTCGAGCTCGACAAAATAAAAATATTGGCGGTCACACAGGGTGTTCGATTTTTTCTGGGCGGATCCCAACTGTGTCTTTTTAAATGGCAACCTATATTTTTTATCGCTTTTTCGGTTTCTTCATAGAAAATAAAATAAACTTTATGTATATCTGCACTTCGAAAATATTGATGGTTTTCGAGATATCTAGCATGACAGGTTTTTTTTTCCAATATTCGTCACTCAGAATATTTGAAATTATAAAGTGGTGCCAAGTCCAGTTGAAATTTT